AGATAACCATACGCTTCAGAGGCGCATGCTTTTCTAAGGCGTCAATTTTATACTAACAATGGATATTTATTTAAGTTAATCTAGTCATTTTAAAGGTTTGGCATTATTGTAAAAATAAAATGCATTTATATTATATTTTTTTATATTTTAAGTAATTTTAAACTTAAATCACTAGACCTCTATGAAAAATTAACAAAAATCAACAGTCTTCGCAGGCGCCTCTGCGACGTAGGTTATCTTTCTCGGGTTAACATCAGATTTACGGATTACTAAAAGTAACTATTTCATGTTGCTTCATGAAAATGACAAGCGTATACAGACGATCGCGTAAATATTCGGACACATTTTAACGCGGAACAAATCTTAAAACATTGGACAAAATGACATGACTTTTTTTTTAATGTCGGAGGGTCTAGTTCACTAGACAATAAAACCAAATAAATTTTCGCAATAATTAAAATTGGTTCAAATGGTAAGAAAACAAAAGCTCGTATTTTTTAACGATTTTATTTGAGTGAATAATTGAACTTTAAACACTGCATTCTGTTGATTTCGTGAAAATTCCTCGAAAATTCCGTCGACATCGGTTGATGTCGTTATTGGCTATAAATAATTAAAGATTGCGAGAATAGCAGGTTTTCATTACTTCAATCTAAAAATTGTGGGAATCTGGACATTTTTACATCTTTCAGTGCTTTTAGTTCATAACGACGTTAATCGATTTCGATAACATTTTCATAACATTTTGTACAAAATGCGATGTTAAATGTTTAATTATTCACACAAATAAAAAAGTTAGAAAGCATGAGTTTCATATTTTCTATCATTTCGATCAATTTTAATTTTTGCAAACATTTCATCTCGTGAATTTTTACTAAACTAGACCGTCTAGCATTTAAAAAATATCCAAGTCATTTGGTTCAATGTTTTACAGTTTATTCCGTTTTAAAGAGTGTCCGAATATTTTCACGGACCATAAATACATAAAGATTCATTGTCTAGCTATGACTTTCGTTCAAATCAAATAAAAACTTACTGAAAATAATTTATTTCATAACACAGTAAACGAATCCGTCATTTGGTATGAATATTTCATTTCATATGAAATACCATTTCATTAATTAATTGCTCTCGCGTATTATTATCGTGGAAAATGTTACGATGTTTGCAGAATTCAAAATCATACGAACAAAGCCCAATATCAAAAAAGACCACACTGTATCTCCAACACATTCTTTAGCGTGACAGTGTAATTTTTCTCGTATTGCACTTGCGAAACTTTATTTATTGCTGCATCCGTTTCGGAATTTTCGTTTTTGTTACGTATGACGCCATAAACGAAAACAAATTATTTTTTGATGTTTCAAGATGCTTACTAACTTTAAACTTCTTCCTTCTGCGAGTCTGTTGAATGGATCTAGTGTCAAGCGAGTTGGATATACCACTGCTCTATGGACAAGTGAAATAGGTCAATGCTATCCGATACAAGCAAGACAGCGCAGTTGTATTGTAAACAAGTGAAATAGGTTAATGCTATCAGACGTGAATAAAATAGAGAACAAAGCATTTATAACATACGATATTTGACGAGAGATACAATTACCACTGATCAATTGTAGCTATATTAACTACAAAGTTACTAATAAATGAAATTTTTTAAAATGATCATCAAAATTGACAAAATATTAACTACATTCGTGGTCAATGAAGAAAGTAGACACACGTTGATGCACAGTAAGAATAAATATTAACACGATTAACGATATTTTGAAATTGTCCAATCCTACATCTTCAATTTTTCAATCTTATATTTTTATTTTCAAACAACGTGTTAACAACTTTTTTTATGATAATAATATACGTATGGATAAAAATTAAATATCACCGACACGTATAGGGTGACTGAATGAAAGGTAAAATCTTAAATATGTTTCAAACTAAAGAAGCAAGATGCTGTTAACAATTTTTTGTACACAAACTTGTTTTGGACATTCGAAGACCATCTTTAAATTTTTGAAACAGAATGATACACATTTAATTTCATCTCTACTACTATCTCTGTACAATAACGTTGTAATCTCATAATTATGATATTCTCACATTTTATAATGAATTATCCCGATACCACAAAATCCATAAGCAATTCTTAACATTCGCGCGCATTATACTATTGCATTAATATCAACATTCCTCGTGTAAAACAATTGCAATACATAGAAGATAACCTTGAGATTATTATCAATATGCATTGCGTTCTAAGCCATGAACGCAGAGATTCAAGCATCCTGTTTAAAAAAAAAAAAGAAAAGGTGAAGATAACCTTTAAGTGTCAGACATTTCGCTATTCACAACAAAATTGTTTCCATTATCATAATCATGCACCCCTATTTCACCGAGTTCTTCTCTTCTCCTTAATTTAAAAACTTCTACAGTTTTTAATATTTTCAAAATACAGTAAATTCTCCTCAATTGTCTCCCAGCTTATAAACAAAAATGGAGAATTTGGGAAGAGTTGACTCGATTATCTCGGCTCGAATAATCGTATCTCCTCTTCCCAAATTGTCCATTTTCGCTTACAAGCTAAGGGACAATTGTAGAGAATTTACTGTAGCTAGTTTAAGTGGTTCAGTAGTAACATCACAAGCGAATTACATATACATATACATATACATATTGACGTGTCAATCACATGAATAGTGCACTATGGTTAGAGAATGCAAGTATAATGCAACTATAGTGTAACTAGGCTACAGTGTACGACTATCGTGATGGTGAAAGTTCAAATACATTGTGCAAATTGTCATTACGTCATAACAGCTAATAAGTGAATGAAATTTAGGGTTATTACGGACTACGCAACAGGCAAACCTTTTACTATGATAAACTATGATAAACGAAACCGTTCTTCGATTTGAGTAAACGCTAATGACAGTATTGCTATTATTTGGATGAAATTCTTATGACAGAGTGGATATGGTCGTCTGATATGGTCGTCATTCATACCTTCAGTGCTGTAGTTTGGGACATTTCAGAATGTGAGTCTTCGTAAGTGACGTTCATTTCATGCTGCAAGAAACATTATTATTTTTTAGTCACTACTAATCTACCGCTCTACATACTTTGTGTATATACAAATTGTTCGAACAGAATTAACAATGTGTTAACCTAACGTATCGAGATCAATACACAACGACGAATTCATATAATACACTTTGTACAAATTGCTCGGTAAGCTTTCAAATCCGCAAATCGCTCGCAAAATGATCTCGAAAATTCTGTCTAAACTATATTTCCACAGAGAAAGATGGTACACGTGTTATATCTTTTATTCCTCGTGTTGAATTATGCGAGATGTTTCGAAAATGATATAAGCGACTGAAAGAAATAATCTCTGAATTCATAAATAATTTTTCCTTTAGTGGAAATGTGTTTCTCGCGGTCAGCTTAACGAGTCGCTAACGAAGAACATTGACCAATCAGAGAGCGAGTACGATTGGTGCCCGCCCACGCAGCCAATAACGTGTCGAGTTCGCTAACATATCGGAACGCTTCAGTCGTACTCGCTCCACGATTGGTTCGTGTTTTTCGTTCAAGTTTCTCGGATAAGTTACTTCAAATGACCTCGGCAATCGCTGATCTCCCGATTGCGAGTGCCTTTTGGGACACTCTGTAGATATTAAGTTCTTTACTCTTACTGTGTATGAAATACTTGAAAACATGGAGATTGCGATGCGAGATATCTTGTCCGTGGCACCGCGAAATGGGAACTGCAACGCGAGATATCTCGTCAATAGCACCGTATAACGAACGATAACTCGTCCATCAGCGTCGCATAACCGACACAGCGATAGCGAGATATCTCGTCCTCGGTAACGAAGTGGTTAAAAACAATTGAGAACACAAAACAGTTTTATCTTATGGCTGTCTTATGGCTTGGTCGCAGAATCTATACCCGTTAGCGTGTTTACGTTGTTTCTTTTTATAAAAAATAAACTCGTTCGTTCCAATGCAATTTGCATGTTCACGTTCGTTCAATATTTGCATAGCATTCGCGGCGTCCTGGCCATTGTTACACCGGAGCAAGTAAGGACAACACGCGCCCGTTATCTTTTTCTCTGCAAATGGGTATTGCGGTCGTTATCGGTGGTGAACGAATCGCTGAAACTTTTTTTTTCGTAGAAGCGAACAAAAGCGATCGTTACGCAAGGATTCGAAAGAATTGAAAACTCGTGAAAAAATCTTTCTCTTTCTATCGGCCGGCGAGCCATCGAGCAGATTACAAAGCAAACGACAATGCGATAGTCGAGCGGTTATTGCTACGGTTACGTACCGGCCATCGAAATGCCCCGCAGTTGCTTAAATTCCCGCAATTTCGTGGTAAGATCGATACCGAAAACCCGATAAAAATAGAAAATATTCTTCGCGCTGTTTTCGCAGCGCGCTGTGCAGAGAAAATAGGTGAAACTACGTAGATGAGAGGTGCTGTTAAATATCCTGACGATGAGAGAATCAATCGGGACTGGAACAAAATATATTATAAATATATTATATTATAAATATAATAATATATATAATAATATAAAATAATATAATAATATAATAATATATAATAATATAAAATATAATAATATATATTATTGTATTATAAATATATTATAAATATTTATATTATTATAAATATATTATAATTCTCGTTCATTAGACTCCAATTCGTGAATATTAATGCCCCTTCCAGCACCAACAATTTATGAAACGAATATAATAATATAATATAATTTTTCAAAATCGGGCAAAATAACATCTGAATGCAGAAACGATACCACATTTATAATAATTTAATCGACATTTCCAATAGTCGTGAGTAGACGTGGAACGGTCTTTTACCTTTCTTTTTTATATCGCGCTCGAAAGAAAGTTAACCTCTTTATGCTACCTCTCACCTACACGAAAATAGGTTGAAAAACGTGCACCACGAAACGGGAACGATTCGATTAAGAATGCTTGATCGCCAGCTTAATTGCAATTCTAATTTCGTATGCCGAGATATTTATGAAGCGTTGCGGTCAGAGGCGGAAGGGTAGGAGTACAGATGAAAAGATACCTTGGGTGATTTCCTGAATTTTACATACGCTCTGCGCCCAGTTGCTTTATGGGGCATGCAAATATACAATGCAGGAACGTTGCAGGATCTTCCTTTGCATTGGCCGTCTGCATTATACAGGGTGGGTCACGTGAATAGAAATGCGGAAATATCCCCGCGTTTCGCACTGTAGATAGCGGAGCTTGGCAAGAAGTGATCTGATTAATGATTAACGATTATAACTTATACGTAAATAATGTATTATCTGTTATTATAGATTAATTATTACAATTAGTGTATTATAATTTATAATAACTAACGAGTTATAATCGTTAATCGTTAATCAAGGTCACTTTTATCTATATAAACAATGATAGATAATAATAATAAAAAATAATAATAATAACAACAACAATAATAATAACAATAACAATAATAATAATAACAACAATAATAATAATAATAATAATAATGATAACATTGTAGATTAATTAATTATAATTAATAGTTTAGCTATTAAGCTAAACTATAATAATTTATAATAACTGACGAGTTATGATCGTTAATTTGTACAAAATTCAAAACCAAAATGTTAATTCCACCAAAATGTTAATTTTCTAAACATTATTCTTATAAACTGTAGTAAAATGAAGGAAAGTATATAAAATTTTAAATATTAAAATTATTCCTTTGTGTCTCACCTTTCGAAAATACAAAATATAATTAGCGTAAGCCGGATTGCATGCTGTAGTCTTCTAAATTATGAACACGAATGGCGTGTAACGTGTAATAAGCTACGAAGAAACGTCGAATCCTCTTAAAATTAGGATAATATTTTCCTGTGACTTTCCTATCAAAATTTTTGCCAAACAGTTTCCTATCCGTTGCGAAACCGTACCGAACTCGAAACGAAACATTGAACGCTAAATTATTTAACGTAATCGGAAAGGATCGAAACTCCGTTCCCACGTTTTAAACGATCACGGCGCAGATCGATTGCGCGGATCGTTTAAACCCGTGAATTTCGTGTGAAAGTAATATCCTTCAAGGCTGACAGACTAATCAGGAACTTTTAGCTACCAAATCCCTGTTGAACAAATAAAAGAGGAAAGCACACCTATATCTCCGCAACCCGTCGGAACTGCCGAGCTACGGAAGAAATTGGAACGGATGTCGAGCGTAAATATTTAACGGCTGCCTGGAAGGAAGCAGCTCCCTAGCTGGTAGAAAACAAAGTCTCCGAGGGACATTGTTTATGTCGACGGAATGAAGAATAGATGACCGAGGAACGGGTTATATCCCGAATGATACCGCGGTCCCACTGAAATCAATGGAGAATTCTTCGTTGCTCGAAAACTCTCGAGTTGTTGCACAAGATCTATCGCTTACGCTTTAACCCTTAAATGCATATTGTTGCCAATTGTCTACGTTCCAGTTCCACTTGATTTTATTCAAAAACCTGAGTATATGTGCGTTTCCGAACGCACGTTGATAACAATAGACGATAGATCGTGTGCGAAATAAAAGACTTGACATTACTTTTAGCGAGTAAGTTATATGTTTTTTGACATTTGAATGCGGTGGGTGATAACTTCCAGGTTGCAAAGGATTTTCACGGACCGAGTGCATCGAATGCAAGGTTGCTTTGTGTCGCAACAAAAATCGCAATTGCTTCGCTGCATTTCATTTATAAATAATGTGAAAATTCCTATACTAATAGATAATATAAATACGTGACCATTTGTTTACGTCTACAATAATTTTAGTAATAAACGCATATTGTTGCCAAAAGTCTACGTACAACTTTTTTTCAAAATAAATACTCAATATTATTACCTAGATTTTTTTATTTATTTTTTACGCAACCTATGACTACATTCCTATAGAAAACGATTTTTTAGAATTCAAAACAAAAAATTATGCATTTAAGGGTTAAGGGGTTATTCTAGCGTGTATCGTTGAAAACATGGAATTTTTGTACATTTTCTTGAAGAACATAGCTCTCGAAAAATGATCGGTATTAACAAATAAAACTTTAAATGTGTTTATCTAGGAAATATATTTTCCGAAACGGTGGCAAAATCTACGTAACCAATCGCCTTCAAAATTTATGGTGCACATTCGACTGTGTTTCAAAGTAGCCAGTGCCGTTAATATTAACTTTTTTAATCCAGAAAATTGTTTAATGTTATTGAAACGTGCGTAAATAAATCTCGTAAATGTGACTGCTGAAGATGTTACAGTTTCTTCGCAAACAAGTCCCAAAGAATGTTAAACGAAAACGAAATTTATGAATATCCGCTCATTGGATCTACAAATATTTTACTGGTCAAGATCGATTACTCGAATAACTGTAACCTTTTATTATCGAGGGAATTCGAACAAGTCGTATTTTCGGTTGTGGCCTAATTAGCATTGCCGTTTGGCCAATAGAATTTGATTTAGTACTTCATTGTTCCGGCCGACAGATCAATAACGTGTCGAGTCTCATAAATATTGGTTGGCCTCTAAGCATTTTCGCCTGGAACCGTTCAAATTATACAATGTGATAATTATCCTCGGGATCTTTATGCTAAATAACAATTTTTTAAATCAATTATAAGGGACAAAAGTTAAGGGATCATGCTCAGTCGGAAACCTTAAAAAGATCAATTTTTGCGTTCGGATTGTTTGTGAAGGTATTACATTTCGAGAATACCCTCTGAATGTTTTATTCCAATCGGATGAAACTTGACGGAAATGCGATCGCTTAATTATTTAAGAGCTAAGACTTTAAGGATTCCTACAGTTTATGGTACAGGCGAATGTGACTGCTATCTTTGAGGATTAGGACATTTTCAATCTCGCATGTAATGTAGTTTATTAGACCGAAGAAACGGGAACAAATTTTAAATCCTAAAACCGCTAAGAGTGATGAGAGGTGTGGTATATTGAATTATCGGTTTTCTTATAGTTTTTGCAACAATTTCAACACTTGCGAAGTACA